TATACGAGGCTGTGGCTTCTCTGTCCAGTGATTTGGTTGTCGTGATGAAACCAGTTGCATTGATAGCAAAAGCGTTATCGATGTTACCAGATGTAATGCTCAAGGAAACCTGAAAAACAGAAACATACTCAAGTCATTGTAATCTGTGATTCCAATAGAAATGATAAAAGGAWAAATTTTACACCGTGAAAAGATGAAAAATCTTACTGACGTTTCGGACGCTCATATAAAATAGAGGTCAACCAAAGTTTGATGTGGAATTGCGAGGTTGATTGAATGAATATGAAGGAATGCACAGTCGAGCTTGTTCTTGTGCTCCCTGTAATCTTATCCAACACGATTCTATATGCCACCATTTTTTTTTTTAAATTTCAGAAAGGCGAACATCTTTAGGGGCACTTTTTATTGTTAAATAAACCCATGTCGAACAACAATATATACAGAGCCAATTATATAGATTTTTTACAAACACATAAACTAGTATAACTATAAGGTGTTATTAAAACTGTTAATAAAGAAATTATAAATTAACATGCAAAGAGATACTGTATACACATTATAAGACATTATTTACAAGAAACCAATAATCAGTAAATAGGTTTTTTACAATTTTTTTATAAGAGACTGATGTTTCTTCAATAGGGAAGACAGTCCAAAAAGAAACCATAAGGCTTGTGACTTACGTTTCCATTGTCTTCGCTATCTTTGTCGCTGACGGTCACCTATTTATGATAGCGAACCGAAAAAAAACAACAACAAAAACATTAGATTATTAAAATAACGATAGGCAGAAAAAATGCACAGCTGATATAAAAAATCAAAGTTGTCCTGAAAAGCATATTGCCAATGAGAGTTTTTATTAAAATTAATGTTACTCGAAAATGGGAAATCTTGTGAGACTAGTGTACCATATTTATGATTTTAGAACTGATCATCTAACAGAAAGGATATTCAAAATTTGTTATCAAATTGCGCGTTATGGTTTTCCAAACTCAGCTAGACTATTACTTCCTCATTGAATATTATCTCTTATATAGGGGTAGAGAATCAGAATGTATGTTAAACTTGCATATTRTCGACGAAGAAAGGCACTCGCTGGCCGCGGGCACACAGAGTATAATGCAAGTTTGTAACTCAATAAATAACTCCAGCAACTATACGATTTCTTAATGGGTTGATTGTGGGATAGGTATGAGGATTTTACGGGGTTGGAAACTGTTGCAGTGTACCCCGAAGGGGACCCTGTTTCCTACCGTGCAGCACCAGCTTCCGGGCAAAATCTCAAAAAATAGATAAATAATAACCTCACAAGCCAAGACGGTAAGGCGGTACGAGCATACCTTAACTGCAATGACTCCAGCGGCTGAATTTTCTTTGATCTCGCTTGTGTATAGCCTTTCAGTGAAGACTGGGTCGTTGTCATTGACATCCCGTAAAGCAACATTTATTGTAGCAGTTGCTTCTTCCTTGGATATTCCACCACCATCACTAGCGATCACATAAAACTGGTAGCTGTGGACTTCTTCATAGTCAAGGGTTCTTGCTGCTGTGATGTTACCAGTATTAGGATCGACAGCAAAACTAAAA